AAACTCTAGATGACTTAGCTTGCGCCGCCAGCAACAAGAGCCCTCTCATCTCTCAGCTTTCCGCGACAACCCCCACAACAGTAAACAAATCTTGAATGCTCCGTCAGCAACCACATGGACGAGAAACAAGAAAAAACGAGAAAAATAAAAAATCAAGTCTTTTCTTCTTTCGGTTTGTAACCTTGTAAAAATAGGTTGTAATCCCCCAAAATTTGGCTAGTGACCAAAATGTAAGTATTGAAAGTTTAGTGGTCAAAGTATAAACTTTGTAAAAGTTTAGAGACCAAAAATATAATTTTTAAAATTATATATTTTGGCCCATAAATGAATAGTTTATTACAAAATTAACATGGGAATCATAATTTTGATTTGATATTTGTATTAAAAGCTATAAATAAGTAAAGTCCAATAATAATTCAATAATCAGATCGAATCGAAATTTCGAGAAATTTTGAAGGAAGATGGAAAAAGGTTAGAAATATTATTTTTATATTTTATAACAGTGAAATTTAACATGAATCAGTGGAATTAAGTTCGGTTTTTTATGTTAAGCTAAAATTGTGAAAATTGGTGATTAAATTGCAATTTTTGAAAATTGCCAAGGATAAAAGTGGAAATTAATTTTTTTTTGGTTCATCATTGAATTTGGAATATTAAAATGGAAGATATTGCAATGCATGTTGAATTATCAAGTTTCATTAAGGGCAAAATGATAATTTCACATTAATTAAATTTTTAAATGCAATTATCTTAAGACAAGTGTATTATGAGAATTATGAAGAAAAATCAAGAAAAAAAATTCAACTTTCTTCTTCTTTGGCCGTGAACCACCATTGTTAGGTAGGCAAGTTTTTTAATTTCATTTTTAAGCTTATTCGATTGATTTTTTGAAATAAGCTATTAGATAGAGAATTAATCTACTTGAAATTCTTATCATTTGGTATAATTAGTTCATGAAAACATGTTTGGATGATGAAATTCATGATTAGGGTTCATGAAGAACATGTTGAATTTTGAAAAATTAAAGGATGGTTTTTATATTATTGGTATTGTGGATTAATTTCCAAGCATGAATGATGATAAAATTATATTGAAATGTTATAATCAATTCGGACAAGCTATGGTTTATAATATTTGATTGAATTTGATGCTAGGATGACTGAATTGCATGAATTTGATCATAGGTGCTTTGAATTCATGCTTGAAATTGAATGAAATTCTTGCCATATTTCTACAAGTATGTTCGGCCAGGGGAATTAATTAAGGGGAAAATATTCAAAATTTTCTTATGGCCTATAATTGATATTAGAATGATTCTATATGTTTTGGAGATTGATTTGGATCAATTTAGAACATTGTGAAAGTAAAAAGACTATTTTGCAAGTTTTGGAAATTATAGGACATTGATGTATAAGTGTTCAATTATGAGTGTTCAATGCTGAAACTAACGTTTAAATACTGAATTTGAAGTTAGAATATTGTATTGGAAACTATTTTTGGATACTGTCCTTAATTTTTCAATTTTCTTAACTGATTCCTGTTTTCTATTTCCTTACAGTTTAGTCCTTTGCCACCAAATTGAATTTGGTTTATTTTATTGAAGTCGTCGACAATTTTCATCGATTTGTCAGTCATGATCAGTTATCATCCACTTCAAATGTTAAAAAAACAACCCCAATTTTGAACCAACACACAACCGCTTAACAAAATTATAACTCCCTAAGGGTGCGTTTGGTTCACGGAATATAAGATTACCAGTAGAAATAAAAAATTACCAGGGAATAAGATTACTGTAAATGTTGTATTTTGTGTTTGGTTGGTTTAGCAAGAATGTAAGATTACCGTGTTTGGTTAAATGAATAAAAGTTTTTTGGAATGTATATTTGACCAAATTGTCTTATTATATATTTGTTTTTTTAACAAGTTGGAAAATATTTATATATATATTTTTTAAAATTTAAATTCATGAAATTTATATAATTTTTTTACAAAATTGAAAATATAAAAAAGTTTAATGAAAGGGTAAAATTTTATTTTATCCCTGAACTTCATATAAAATTTTAATTATAGTTTTTTTTTGTAAATCTAAAATAGTTTAAGGATAAATTTGTAATTTAACCTTCGTAGAATTTTTATTATTTAATGACAGAATAAGGATATTTTTGGAAAAAAAATTAAAGGCATTTTAGTCCAAAATGCCGTAATCCAACAATACCTAAGGAAATGAAGTAATGATATTCTCGGTAATATACCCCAAAAAATTTACTATTAATAATGTAAGATTACCGGGAATGACATTCCCGGCCAACCAAATGGAGGAATGTGGATTCCATTCCCATGGAATCTCACATTCCCAACCAAACACACCCTAAGAACGACTTTACATCAAACTATTCATTTTAATCTACATTCCGAAATAATATGAAGTTAGCCTATTTCCCTATTTTTTATTTTCTTATTATTTCCCTAAATAAGCCTATTATGATACATAGTCTAAATTTAAAAATGAGTGGTTTGCACAAATATCTTTTGATAAATATTTTGTCTAAATATGAACGATCCTATTCACATAAAAACTCGTCAAGGGTTCGGAATTCCTCGTCAAAGGTCCACAACTGACTATTATACGAGGGAAATAGCATATGAATAAGATATGATTAATTGAAAATAATTGTGCTAAGTTTCAACTCTTAATTAAAAAGATGGTGGGGACAACCGAATCTAAATCAATCTTAGGGCCATGTCATTGGAGAGCAATATCGGGTAAATGCATTGCACAACTGCTCGGAGCAAGTAATTAAATTAATAAATTGATGTTTAGGACTAATTTATTAGATTATATAATTGCATAAACAAAAAGTGAGCATCACGACGACGTTTTAATTTTGTCTTTGGTCTTTGCCTTTGTTCTACTTTTTTGGGGGGTGTTGCAACAGTATCTGTGCTGCTTCCGGGAAGTTGTCTTAGAGCGATACCTCGTAATAATGATATCGTAATAATGATATCAACGGAAATGAACAAACTTTTTTAATCATAATAATTTGAGGATCATTGGAGGTTTTAAAAAACTCTAAAAAGTTGATTATCTTTGTATTCATCTTTGGTTGACGGATGGTGACACCAGTTTTAGTACTGGCTATTATCATCGATATTTTTTATTTTTCTTTTATTTTATTATATCACCTTTTCATGTTTCTTTTTTTTATATTTTTTAAATAATTTTGTCATTACGACACAATTTTGATCGTTTGATCGTTAGTTTTTTTATTATATTTTTTTAGAGTTGGGTTTAACAATCAACGACTGAGCATGATGATATTTATTTGTTATCATGTCAATCTTCCATGCTTTGGACCTTTAGAGGATTCAAATACACGATTTACGTTCGTGAATAGTTTTCTCACGTCACTCGATTTTGATTTGTGTTTTATCGATTTTCTTTCAGTAACTTAATCCTCTTTTGTGACTCATTTACAAATATAATCAGATAAGTTCATATCTATATTTTGTTCGAGTTCTTTTTGTTAGATTTTTTTATTCTTATATTTCTATGGTCTTTGTGTGATATTAATTGATCGATTTCTTGTGTTAATAATTATAAAAAATATTCTAATTATACGTTTAATTTACAATTATATGACTATAAAAATATTTTCCATGTTTTTATTGTTTTGCACGTACAACCAATAAAGCGTGGCATGTTAAATTATAAAATGCACTTTGTTCTTTTATGTTGTCCTGTCTTTCATGAAGCATAAATTAGGGACTTTCTGGGTCCACATCCAATGGATCTTTTGATTCTCTATTATAATTTTGAACATTAAATGTGTTATCCACTGCACTTTTGTTTTTAAATTAGGCCTTTGAACATTGAAATACCACACATTCAAAATTAACAGATTTTTGTTATCAATTGGACTGCTGAGAAAGAGGGGTTTCGTAAATTGGGTTTGAGTTTTTAAATCAAGCAATTAGAGGGACTAAATTTCCATAATTAAGAAAAGTGAAACTAATTTTAAGATTCTGAATTGGACAGGGGCTGAAGAAAGCAGTAATCCAATGAAAGATGTCCATTTTTTTTTATCAAACCAACACTTGTTGATGGGCTTGAGGGAATTGACTCGTTTTCTGTTTTGGGTTCAGTTCCTTGGTATTTTGATGATGTGGATTGTATTTCAGTTCTTCACATGAAAATTAAAGCCATTTTCACTTTCTTTTCAACCACACAAAGAAAATGATTTTTGCTATACTTTCGGAATTTATCTTCGGAAGAGGTCAGTCTTCTGTCCACCAAGAGTTCTGGGTAATCCTTTAGTTCATTGGAGCATTCATGGAACACGTATCATTGAGTTAAAGAATAATGGGTAAATTACGTCTTTAATACTTAAACTATTAATTTTAGTTCGTTTTAATATATGATCTTATGCCTGACATCATTAACTAGAGTCGTTACAAATACCTCCAAACAATAATCAAAAGGGAGATCTCTTCCCCTAGACTCTTTAATCTATTATGACTCGTTTACTTTTATGTTCTTTCTTATATTTGCATCTCTCATAGGTAGGGATGAACCAAGAGGCGGGTGGGGTAGTCATCTATGAAGTTTTTTAATTCTCATATATTTTATATTTTTTCTGTGTATTTTCTACTAATAATATATTTTTATTCCTCGAAATTTTATAAATTCACCTCATTTTAAAATTTTATAAATTCACCATTCTAACATATAATCTTGTGTTCGTACTTGTCCATAAGAATATACACACCAATAACTTATCATTTACCAATCGCGGCTCTCTAATCAAATAAAAAAGAATAAATCATCAACTGAGGACACACAATCCACCTATTTCCATTAATTTTATAATTTGCAACCGTAGAGCAACATAAGGAAAGGCTGACAAACCAACGGCAAAATGAATCCACTCAAAGTAGAGCCGCCACATAAGAAACTCGTCACCAACAGCATCATGAAGCTCCCCACCACTAAGCTTTCAGCCCAAAAAGAAAACATTACAACGGTCTACTACTTGTTTCAGACATCCAAGTTTTGCTTTTCCCTCCTCCCACGAAGTTTCCTCGCAACAACCAATTCCAACCGTCACCTATGACTCTGGTTTTCTGTCATAATAGTAATAATCCCCGTGAAGTAATATTTATAAATGTCTTCGTTTTGTAAAACTTCATTTAAAACAAATCAGCGAATGGAAGCACCTCAGGGAGGGAAGAACATAGGGAATAATAGGGAGGTTCGATACAGGGGTATTCGGCGGAGACCGTGGGGAAAGTTTGCCGCGGAGATTCGTGATCCGACGAGGAACGGAGCGCGGTTGTGGCTTGGGACATTCAAGAATGCTGAAGAGGCTGCAAGGGCCTATGACAGGGCTGCTTATGCTTTCCGGGGTCACTCGGCTATTCTCAACTTCCCAAACGAGTACCAATATCAGAATCCGACATTGCCTCCGCCGTCTTCGGCTTTGTCTACCCGAGGGCGTGGAACTGAAGTTATTGAATTTGAGTACCTGGACAACAAGTTGTTGGAGGATCTTCTTGAAACGCATGAAGATAGGCAGCGCTTATAGAACAAATGAATTCAGTGTTTAGCAAGTTCTATTATACATATTTGATTAATTCAACTGTAATTTGAATTCACAATATATATATATATATAATGTCCTTTACTATCTTGATCAATTTAGAATAAAAAGATTTCTATTTTAAAAATTTAGAATATGGGTTTCGATTTCAAAAAATGCTTAGTGCTTTCTTTTTCAGAAATTCGGAGGAAAAAAAGGGTTGGATTCCAAAAAATATACGTTCATCGTGTAAATGCCCTTTCGATTGTACTGACTACAAATTTCAAATCCAGAAAAAATATAAATTCTTTTCGCTGAGTTATTTAAAATTGTTAAAAAATATTTAAATATAATTCAATTATTTCATAAAAGTTATTAATTAAATATATGTTTAATTTGGAATTTTAAAATATGTTATGCTAATTAATTAATACACGCGGACCGACATATATAGCCAATAATTCATCGTCTGTTGAGTAAGATGAATCGATGGGGACAAGGACGGAGCTCCCTTAGGGTTTTAGGGGATCGATTATGTTAAAATTTATATATTTGATATGATTTGGTTTGATAATATTATAAATTTTAAATTTTTAAAAAATATAAAAATTTAGTAAATATTTAACCAAGTATGGATCAAAGAATGATAAGTTTGTGTTCTCAAATTTTTGGTCTAATTACAATTTAAGTTATTGTAAGTTTAAATATTAGACAAATTAGAAGTTATATTTTGAGTTTTGAGTTTTTTTAATTTAAGGTGAATACAAGATAATATGTACAAAGACTTTCAGTTATTTGACAATGAACGCTTATATTCTTACATACGTTTTGAACTCGGGACCTCAAGTATAACAACAATCCCTTAATCACTAAGGTTGCTTGGTTCATGCTGAATTTCGAGTTTAAATACCTAATAAGTCTTTATATTTTTCTTAATTAGTCTAAATTTTGGATGATTTCTGGATAGACATATGATTTTATGTTAGGGTGAACTTATAAAGTTTTAAGATTAGGAGAACTTATAAAATTTTAGGAGGAAGAAAATAGATTTTCAATAGAAAATACAAAGAAAATATTTAAAATATATAAAAATTTAAATTTTCAGGAGACGACTTCATGATCCTATTGTTACTTTCCTTTCGTAAAAGAAAGTTGTAATCATGGATAGATTGAGGAGCAATTGTCCATTAGATTTTTTTTTTTAATTTTCATATAATTTAGTAATTTCTTTATATTTTCTATTGATCATCTAATTTTATCTCTTAAAATTTTATAATTTTTTACCTTAAATTTATAATATAAATTACTAAATAAAAAGTTGGTCCCTAACCTAAAATCATATATGTTAGACTCATTATAAACAATACATAAAATGGTGATGATCAAAGCTAATTATAAATAAGATAAAATCGTTGATATTATTATTATAATATATAAAAGTAAATGAATTCATACATATTTAAACACAAAAAAATATAATAGAGTGCAAAACTCAATATTATAGTAGAGTTTGTAGTAAACTTGTTTCCGTTTGATTTTGTCGAAGGTTTTATACATTCATTTTTATGCATATGACATTGGGTTACAAGATAAGTAGTCTTCTTGTATCCCATAACATTATTATTTATTGAAATCTTCAACATTTTGCATCCCATATCATTGCTATTTGATTCGAATCTAAAACCTTGGAAAACTATGGAGTATTAAGCTGTGGGCTCGTATATAAGCTCCTTGAAAGTTTCATCGTCATGGTTGAGAATGGAAACATTAATGAAGTCAGAAAATTTGAACGCCTTGTAAATTGCAGGATTGCTAGCATTAACCAAAGCTTTCGCGGGTCCGATGAGTCTATCGTCACAAGGATACACGAAGAAAGAAACAGTCGTCCAAGCATCTCTCGAATTCGTCACCACTCGATGTTCAGCTCCGTTCAGTTTCCCATTTCTAATAACCTATAAAACCAACAAAAAGGGTATTCACTATTCAGAAATCGAAAAAAAACGAAGAAAATTTATGACTAATGGTTTGATGATGTACCTGTAGAAGGAAGCCTATATTAACCACAAAGGCACGAGGAAGCGGTTTGATGCCGATCCACCGGCCGTCTTTGAGGACTTGGAGGCCATTTATGTGGCCTTGAAGAAGAATGGTGGTGATGGTAGGGTCACGGTGTTTCAATAATTCCAGAGTTAAACTGGGTTCAGGGCATGGAGGGTAGTGGTTAATCAGGATTTTGGGGACTTGACTGAGGTCATTGCTGCTGAAATAATTAATGTTAAGCCCTAATCCTTCGCATAGAAGCTCCAGGATTCTACAACTCAGCTTCCATAACTCAACCGAATAAGCCCCAACTACTACTCTGAACAGAAAATGAATGATATAGTCAAACTATCGACAGTCAAGAGGAATATTTCATGCACATTAAAAGATGCAATAAAGTTGCTGATGGTTTAGCATGGAGCCGTTCCCCAGGTATTCACCTCCTCCATGAACCATCGTTGGAGCTGGAAGAAGCCTTTGAAGAAGACGACGTTACAGTGCAATGCAGACTACTATTTGCTACTCTCTTCTGATTTTCACATCTTTCTTATTCAAAAAAAAAAAAAAAACTGGAAAAGTTTGAGAGAGATCATATGTTGATTGATGGGAGTAAGTGAATTGCGTTAGTCGTTGACTATATACTTTTCTAATTTGAGTAAAAAAAAAACCACAACCAATGTAAGAACAGGGCGATTCTCTATGGGAGAGGAGAAAGTTCTCGTGGGACGGAAATAGATGTTACAAATAACGGAGTTGACAAAGAGACTTCTCTTTTACATTCTTTCCTCGGGTATAAATATCTTGATTATAGAACAACTGGACCTAGTGTCGTCATACCTATTAATAGACTGACAAATTAAATAGATATACCCGTCAACTATTAGAATTGATTCTGTCAGATGTCACATTAACAGCAGAGAATGATCTCGAAGGTGGTGTGATGTCTTTATAAAATTTTTGGAGACTATGTTGAGAGGATGGAGTCTTACAAGAATTTTCTTGGTAGAGATTTAATAGGCTCTAGGGAGATTTTGTGAGGAGGTATAACATCATGTATAAAGTTTAATTGGCAATGAGGTGATAGTTTACCTGTATCTGGTAGGGTTTTCAGGTAAAAATTGAATGTGGTCGTCTAAAGGACAGCAAGGGTGCTTCACGGCATCTCTCCACAAGTGAAAATCCTCCCTCGGATAAACGTGGCTGCTTGTGTACAGCTTGCATCTCCCGTTGGGGTCCTTGGTGCATTCCCTTTCCTTATCGACGCCTGGCATTGCATGGAATTCCTCTGCAACATTCATCGTTTCGTCCATTAAATCCCGGAAACTCCATGGTTGATTATCTGCAGTGTTTTAAAATATGCATCAGTAGTGCATGAAGCAGCCATGATATGCTTTGAGCCTTGAAATTATTCCAACCTGGAAAAATCCAAACTCTTGGCCGGCTTTCAGAATTTGTTGAATGGTATCGTTTCGATCATTACGCTGAAGATCGATCACCGGGATGGATTTTTCCAACGGAACAATGAGGTCGCCGGGTCTTGTCTCTGGTGGCATCACGTAACTTTCCGGCAAAGATCCATCGGAACACCAGCTTGAAAGAAGTTCCATGGTTTCAATTTGAATGTAGAGGCCTGGGTACAAGAAGTTAAAGGGGGTGAATTAAAATCCTGGATAGAAAGTTTATCCTTAAATAAAGAAATAAAAAGCCTTTTGAGAGGCGTACGTATGCACTTGCATCATCAAATTTTGTAATTATAAAGCAATGTAGTTCAGATTCTTTTTCTACCTCTCTGTTAAGATGATGTCTGAGTTAATAGTTATCGGTAACGCAAACAAGTTATATTCTACATCAGTTGAAAAAGAGTTTTTCATGTGTCTATATATGACTAGTACCGTTCAAAAACGTTTGAGAAAGTGCTTTACATTCGAAAGGAATCCCAAACATCTAACTTTTAGTATGAAAAACTGGCAAAAATATATGATTTTTTGTAACCTTTTGAGTTATAAATCACGTTTAGCAAAAAAATAAAAATAAAAACCCCTCAATTTTCTTCATGCCAAATCACATAACCTCTTATATTTTTTCACTCTTAAATGCCCTCAATAACTCATCAATCTTTTATGTTTGGTGTGTATATATTTATTATGTATGATTATAATCATAAAATTTTATTTTATTTTTTCATCGCAAATAATATGACATTCTAAATTCGACCTAATCTAAAAGATCTATGTGTCACACAAATTACCATAATGACTAATCATTTTTTTAATACTTCATTACTCAAAATCTTTAAAACATAATCTTCTTATTATAATAAATAGAATAAGTATTAGTAAAGTTAAACTTCATAATTTAAATCAAGCGTATTAAAGTAAATATAGTTACATAATGTTAGAAAACACATAGGGTAATACATAGCCTAAATAAGAACTAAGGTATTGTACTTTGAACATGACTCATTTGTTGGAATCCTTCTCTGAAGAAGCTCGTAACACCCTAAATCCAAATAGGCTTAAAGTGTTACATTGGACTATTGAAACAAACATTAAGTTTTAAAACCATTTTCATTTCCATTTAAAACATACGATATGGTATCAAAATAGACATACATGATATAAGAATACTTTTATGAACTCCATTTAAAACATACGATATGGTACCAAAATAGACATACATGATATCAGAATACTTTTATAAACTGGAGCTCTGTGACACATTGTTTAAAATCAAAATAATACAAACTCAAAGTTATAAATTTGAATAGAATAATAAGGGTCATATTATTACACAATCCCACTAAAGTAACAGTACAATACTCTGGAAGGGATGACGGAAGTTCTGTCGTGATAATACTCATCGGACACTCAAACTACTAACATGCGAATGGAAAAATCTGAATGATGGGCTTACAAAGCCCAACAATATAATCACAAATCTAGAGCAGTATTATGAATCTCATAAAC